GTATATTTATCATCATTAAGTAATGAAATAAATACAAAGAGTTGTTTTTAAAAGGCTGAGAGTACAGCTGTATTAGAGGAGAGGGAGTTAATATGATTTATTGTTAACCTTTACATTGCCTTAATATTCCATAATGCTAAAAAAGATTAATTATATAGCCCTGCCCAATAAATGCCTTGGAAACATAGAAATAAACAGAAGCACTATAATTTGTTTTTTCAGGCCTGTAGTCTTCAATTAATTTACCAACTCCTTTGGATATAAACAGAGTCTACCAATTTTCTGATTTCTAATGGAAATCAGCAAGTCTCTGAATATTACCAGTTAAGCATCAAGCATCCACATGTGGAAGTAGCACATCTTTGTCCCATAATCAGAAAGTACTACTTTCAGGAAACCTGCTTAATTGTTTTCATGCAGTACTCTCCTGGTGCCTTCTCAGAGTTCTTTTTCAATCCGTAGAGACTCCGTATGTTATCAGATCAATTTTGGATTAAAACTAATTACTATGTACTTAGTAAAAATCAGCTTGACCTCTTCTACCTGTGTATCAGATTTCTTAAAAATTACAGAATACTGTATATATCTTTTAGACAATATGTGTTTTTTTCTGTAACAAGATAATTAACCCAAGTCAAGGTATATAGCCATATACTTTTATACTCAGATGTTATTAAACTCAGTAAACTTCTGTTAGTATAATTGTGCAAAGAACTAAGGAATAAAACCATGAAAAATATGAAGACTTTTTAATAGAACAAATGTTGGATTAGAACACATCTCAAAATTATATCCATTGTCAATTATATGGGATCATTGATGTTCCAGATATTTCTGTAGATCTCCTGATACTTTTATCTCATTTGTAATGCCTGTAGTCTAAAGGTCTCCTTTTTCCTTGGGAGAACACTTGAATAGCTGGAGAGGAACCGCTTGGAAAGGATTGGGACTATCTTGCACAGTAACACAGTGTTTCTAATTCGAAGATAATACCCTTAAAATACATTTTTAAAAATTCAAATACTAGCAGCACCTTTACTAGGACAGGCCTCTGATTTCCTCCTACCAAAAATATATATATATATTAATTATTAAGAACATGAGGTTTGAGGCAAGACACTCCTGCAATGGAAATCAAGCTCTGCCAGATATTTCTAGGCCTGGGGAAATTGCTCAGTTTAAGGTTTATTAAAGGTAAAATGGGATTAATGGGAAACCTCAACTCATATTATTGTCGTAAATGTGGAATAATGTAATCATATAAGCAGTAGAGTGTGGTAAGACAAATCCTGGCAGTGCTAACTCTGACTTAGATAATGACCTTTGGGATGATTCTGAACTATTCTATGCTTCCATTTCCTCTCAAATGAGAGAAATAATTGTAGTTATACCTTATTGGATTTTTTGAGAATAAAATGAGGTAATGCTTGTAAAGACTGGCTATGATGGATAGCATTCTCTCTGGCTCCTGGTAAGCGCCACATAAATATTAGCTAGAATTAGCTAGTTTGCTTGCTACAGTTAAAGATGGCTTAATCCAATCAGCTATACCAGAAAGGATTGAAATCAAACAGCTTCTTCCCTAGAATTAGACTTCCCTTCAGAATTACTTGTCTGCTGTTGCCTGTGTTGATGACTCCCTGTGACCTCCAGATCATCAAGCCTAGCTCATTTCTTGAACGGATATCCATGAACTTGACCTCTTGCCTGTAAGGCAATCATTTAATTACCTACTGTTCTTTCCAGGCGTCACCATTTTTCTGTTATCTAATCGCTCCCAGATCTCTCCTGGTTAGGAAGTCTCTCAGTAAATATTACAAAGATATTTGTGTAGAGCTTCACAGTATTCACCAAGCACTTCTCTATTCATGAAGTGAGGCTATTAGGGCAGGTTTTTTTTTTTTTTTTTTTTTTTAAGATTCAGGTTTGAAATAAAAGTTTTATTATTACTTGATGGATAAGCTTATTAAAGTATACATTAATACAAACTTCTTATAGTAATGATGAAAATGTAAAATTATAAGGAAACACAACCTGATAAAGAACATTTGGGGGACTATCTGTGAAGGTTAAGAGAACATTTTTATTGCATTGCAATTTAAAAATATAGCTTTAATGAAAGTAAATGACAAACTCAGAGGGGACAGAGATGAATTTTGGATCCATGTCTTCTAACTTGGGTTCAAGTTTGGCCTGAGTTCTTGGATATCTCTGCTCTGATGACAGAAGCATAAGGGTGAAGTGTGAGGTTCAAGAACATACATATGTGTAATTGATTCCTGAATTTGTGAAAATATGAGGTTGCTCAAAATTCTAGGCTGGCTTGGGAATTTAAGTTCCACAAGAAGGAAAACATAAAGAAAATAATTTGTTATTGATAGGAAGAAAACACATAACTCATTTATATAGCACTTGGCAGTTTATAAATAATTTTCTCAACCATTATCACAATTGAATATGTTTCTTTACAAAGTTATTAAAGTAACTTCAAAACATTTCAAAACATTTGGAGGCAGTTAGTATGATTGCTATGTAGTGTGGTGGAAAGACATTTATTGATGTACATTTTATGCCATTATTATTCTGTTCACAGAGGAAAGAAAGTAGAAACTGTTTGGAATCAGAGCCTTAGACTGGAGCAAATGAAACTGGAAAAATCCTTTTAGGAACCCGCTCACATAATCCTTTTCCCACATATTTGATGTTTGGGATGTGGGAGGGTCAAGGCAGGGAGAAGGCAAGAACACGGAAATAGGATAGGAGGGAAGCAAGACGTCACACTGAGAGAGCAGTAGTCTTTCTGAAGATGAGTGTTGCAAAGAAAAAAAAAATATTCACTGCCCTTTCCTCCTTCTATACTCTGCAGTTTCTTGCAGTTCTTAAGAAGATGCTGCCAATGATTCTTTTGTGATTGCAGTTCTTGATCTCTGTCACCGTGACTATCACAGCCCTTAACCTACAGAGTGTCAATTGGCATTATTCTAGAAAACGATGGAAGCTGTATTAACTCCTTTTTCACAGGTTCAGTGGTGGACTACTTAAATGTCATCTTCCCCTACCACACACTGTCTCCCCTCCCATCTTCTATTCCTTCCCCCTCTTCTTTCTTTCCTCTTCCTTGATCTCTGCCCCACAATTACTCTTGTCCTATGATCTACAGGTAACTTTTCGTTCAGGTGTGTGACTTTAAGTATATTCTGTTCGTCACTGACATCCTTCTTACCCATGTGCAGTGGTTTTAATATTTCACATTTATTACTGCATTTGGTCCTCATTTTCAGACATGTAGTTTATGGCATTATTACTATTTATTACCATATTATCTTTATTAATATTTTGCTTTTATTAATATTTTGTATGAGTTGTATGATGCATTTTTGTAATTTGTCCAAGATCACCAAATTAGTACAACTGAAAGTATTTGAATTAAGACTGTGGCTACTAAGAGAGATCCAATAAGACAAAGGTTTCCCTTTGTTAAATTAAGCAGCAGAAATGAAGAAACAATCTCTGTGTCAATGAAAACTGGACAGTAAAATGCTGATAACCTATTTTTGGCTGTTGTAGCCTATTCCAGTGACAGAGCTGCCCACCTAAACCCAGGAGTATGAATTGTGGTGTTTCTGGTGCAAAAGCTGACTCTCAGCTAGAGGTTAGCAGGGGTTTTGCAGTTCAAGTGAGTGGAAGGAGTAGCTGTCAGCAATGACGTTAGCACCTTTTTGGTTGTATAAAAAGACTAGCTTTAATGCAATAAAAAATCAAATTCAGGGCTTCCCTGGTGGTGCAGTGGTTGAGAGTCCGCCTGCCCATGCAGGGGACACGGGTTCGTGCCTCTGTCCGGGAAGATCCCACATGCCACGGAGTGGCTAGGCCCGTGAGCCATGGCTGCTGAGCCTGCGCGTCCGGAGCCTGTGCTCCGCAACGGGAGAGGCCACAGCAGTGAGAGGCCCGCGTACCGCAAAAAAAAAAAAAATCAAATTCAATCTATTAAACTTATTTTAATAAGCATTAATAATTTTAAAATTAGTTTAAATTGCAAAGACGGCACATGCTTATTATAAAAACATTGGACATTAACAGATTTATAACATAGGGAGAGTCTTCTCTTTTTCTATCACCCAGTTTCTCTCACTCCACAGAGGTAACTACAGTTTACCAATTTGGCGAATATATTTCTAGAAATTTTCTGTGTTCTGTGTATATATAAATGCACATACAAATGTGGGACCATACGAAACATAATAATATGCAAACTTGCTTTCTGAACATACTATAAGTATTTTTTCATATATACACATATATATTTACCTTATTCACTTTAACGATTGTATCCTTCCCATTGTATAATATACTGTAATTCATTGAATCAGTATACTGTTGTTGAATATTTAGGTTACCTAGCTTTTGTTGTTACTACAAAAAAAAAAGTTGCAGTGAACATCCTTTTATAACAAATTATTATAATCTTGTGCGTTTATCTTTAGATAATTCAGATAAGTAGAAATTCTGGTATTGGAATAATCACTAATATTTTAGATGTGTCTATAAATCCTTGAGATGCCACTTTGGAGTTCAATCTGTGAAGATGCAGTATACCCAAAGCATAGTATTTTTACAATAAAAGTAATTTTTTTTTTTTAACCATTGTAGACAGACCAAACTTTCAGCAAAACTGGTTTGGTTCTGTTTCTTCCTCGAGGTGCAAAGTTCCATATACCTAACAATTTCAATTGTCCTCTCTGTGGTACAGTAAAACAATGTGTCAAATCAGGCCATCTATAAAGTTTCAAAGTATGGAACTATCCAAGAAGGCAAGAGATCCCTATGTGTGGTAGTGTCCTTTTTGGGCAAGGTCCTTGAGTCTTGGATTGTTGCTGCTGTCTGAACCAGCATGATAATCCTTTAACCTTTTTTTCACAGCCTTTTTACTACAAAGAGTGGAATTTTTCTTATAAAGAGTCAGTTAACCATGAAAATCATTCCTTTTTCCCCTCTTTCAGAGCCGGGTGGGGACTTTATGGTATTGACAGTATGCCAGATCTCCGAAGGAAAAAAACTCTGCCTATTGTACGAGATGTGGTGAGTCACTCCTGTTTAATTCATTTTGACTGCATACGTTGTCTTTATCTTTATTAAATGTCCAATTGTCCTTCTCATTAAATGCCTAGCCTGTAAATATTTCATAGAATAAAACACAGAAGAAGCTGGATGGTAGCAAGTGTTATATTTATTATTTCTTTAAAATCTATTAGATGGAGGAAATAACTCTAACCTTTTGACAGCTTTTAATATTAGTTGAAATTACAAATTGAGTTAAAATGGCCCTATAATTGAGCAGAAAGAAGTCACACAGCATGCAAAGTGGGCTGCTGCAACTGGGCTTTGGTGACCACAAGTTTACTTTGCAGTTGAAGGCTAGATTTGACAGTCTTCATCTTAACCCAGTAAACTTTATGCTTTATGAAGCATGCAGATAATATTAATCAGTTCCTTATTCTCATATATTAAGATCAAGTCTAGCCAAATTAATAAGCTGTTCCACTCTCCAAAGAAAACCATGGCTTCCAAGTCATTAAAACCTTTATTAGCCCTGAACATAACTCTGAATGACAAACTCTCCTATAAGGAAATATGCTGGGGACTGCTTAGAGATGCAAAGAATTGATAATAGTCTGTATTAAATTCTAAAAACAAATAGCCCATCAACATGAAAAAGAAATGTTTTCTATCATTCACAATGTTTTCATGTTTTTCTGGAGGCTTATTCTTAATAGTTTATTATATGAAAATATATTTTCCCTCAGAGAAACTGAAGTTTTCCTTTTAGCAACAACTTGCACAATTTCTTGATACCAATAATTTTCAATTTTGCTATGAAAACCTTCATCTGAAGGTCATCACTTTAGTTTTAAATTAGGAAAGGCAAAATCTTGACTGGAAAAATCTTATGCTGGAAAGCATGATATGTCTATACAATTAGCTCAGATTCCTGCCATTATAGTGTGACATTATTTTTAAGTGTTAGGCTTATTTAACATTATTACACTCTTTTCTCACCTGTCATATGTCTAATTATTTATATTTTGTTTTCTTTGTCACTTGGACACTTCAGGCCATGGTAAGTGACTTTCATTTTATTTAATTAATACTTGGCAGTCTTGTCAAATGTACATTGCTCCTATTCATGGGATCAAAGAGAGCAAGATGGGGAAATAAAAAGAGACATATTAGAATAAGAAGTTTGGGTTCTCCAAGATTTAACATCTAGTTCAATTCTGAAAGACAGACCAATTTACATAAACAACAGGTACAAATACAGGCTGAAATAAAATAAAAACATAATTTTAGGGACAGTAGTTGTCTGAGATGGAAGATCATCTTTGGAGGTAAGTCCTGTATAAGTTTACGTGGTAGGAGTGGAGATGGTAGGAGTTTACAAGTGAGGAGTGAGTCACCTGCTCACTTAGGACTGTACTGAACCTAACTGGGCACAATGGCTTTGTAGCTCCAAGGAGATATATTTCTGACCAGATCTCTTATTCCACTATGATTTCCCTTTGTTCCTAATGGGAGAGAAGATTTAATATTCCCATATAGAACTCCTGATTTCCAGAGTTCTCTATAGCACCATCGAGTATATTATATTGTATATGTTTCAGGTGGGAGTAGCATAATGGTTCTATTTTACAGGGGAAACTAAAGGCATGTGACTCTTATTTAAGATCACCTAAGTTACCAACATTGAGTGAAGCAAACAAGTCTAATGATGATTCTCAGTTGGTAAAATGGACCCTTGGAAGAAAATATTCTGGCCAGATATGGAAGCATATTTCAGGGAACTATGGACAACTCAAGAATCATCTAGTACCAGTCGTGATTCAGGGCTATCAGACAGATCAGCTGGCTCTGTACCAATGGTTATGTTTTATGAAGGAATGTAATTATGATTGTCTTGGGGAAAAACAATGTCTTAGAAGCCTCTTGCTAGCCTAGAAACCTTGGGATGCAAGCCTGCCTTGCTGGGCCTCAGTTTTATCATCTGTAAAATGTAGAGCCTAGGTTTGATGATCTAAAGGGATTTTTTTCAGCTTTAATGTCCTATGATTCCACATTCTGGATGAACTGGCTGACTACTGAAAATGGTAGGTCCCTATTGACTAAAGTGTGAATAGTGATAGTCTGTACTTTTACATTTTCACCTTCTGCTGAGTAATAGGTACATAGCAGTCACCTCATAATTCTGTGTTTTTTTGTTTTTTTTTTTAAGACCCTGGCTGCCCGGAAATCTGGACTCTCCCTGGCTATGGTGATTAGGACATCTCTAAATAATGAGGAATTGGTAGGTGCAGAGTCAGTTACTAACTATGCGTTGATCATGGTCTGGAGAAAAGCATTCTGCCTGGGCTGCTTGTTTGTTATGTTCATTCCAAAGTTCCAGGAATCATTGGGAACATGGGGAAAGTCTGATCCTAAACAAAGTTTCTCAGGGCCTCAGCTGCACGATTGTACAAATTATCCTGTTCTGCTCAAATATGCATGCACCTTCCCATCTTTACAAATGCGATTTCATCCTAACACAGTTTGTCACTGTCCACCTAAAAAATCCTGCTAAGTTTTTACATAGTTCACGTTTTGCTTCCTCTTGGAGGCTTTCGCAAACACCCTCCTCCCCTTCTGGCTCAATTATTAGTTTCTTCCACTGGGCTTTTCTAGCATTTAATCATGACCTCCATAGTATAGTATGGTATAGCATGGTTAAGAGTGAAGGCTGCTTGGGGTGAGTCCCATCTGTGCCACTAAATTAGCATTGTTATGTCTGTTAAGTTATGTAACTTCTCTGAGCCTGAGTTCTTTCATGTGTAAAGTGAGGTGATAATAATACAGAAGATTAAGGGAGTGGATGAATATTTAACACGCTTACACAGCCTAGGGTACAGTAAACAATAAATACAAGCTGGTATTCTTATTATTTTTGTTACTACAGTTTGATTATTTTGCATAAGCCTTTCCTTTTAGACTCCATGAAGGTAGCACTATACCTTGTTTGTTGTTCTTGTTAAATATTTTCATCCCTATTGCTTAGTACACTGTCTGACATAAGATGGATGCTTTGTCAATTCTTGTTGAATAAAAGAACCAGCATGATTAGAAGGTACAAGTAGGTCAGGGATTCTTGAATTTGGTTCATTAGAATCACCTGGGGGAGCTTTAAAACATACTTACATCTGAGTCTCACTCCCATGATTCTGATTTGGCTTCAAGTATAGCCTGGGTAGCAGAGGTTTGTTTTGTTTGGTTTTGTTTAAACTTCCAGGTGATTCCAATGAGCAGTGGGTGTTGTGCCATGGTAACTGCATCCTGCATAGCCACTCTGCTGGGGCTTTTTAAAAAATAAATAATTAATTTTTATGGCTGCGTCGGGTCTTAGTTGCGGCACTTGGGATCTTCGTTGAGGCACCCAGGATCTTTCGATGTGGTGCATGGGCTTCTCTCTAGTTGTGGCACACAGTGTCCAGAGCGTGTGGGTTCTGTAGTTCTGGCACACGGGCTTAGTTGTCCTGCGGCACGTGGGATCTTAGTTCCCTGAGCAGGGATCGAACCCGTGTTCCCTGCATTGCAAGGCAGATTCTTTATCAATGGACCACCAGGAAAGTCCCTCTGCTGGGGCTTTTATCCAAGACAATTTATCTGTGTCCTCCTTTATTACAACTATGTACTCTACCTCCCCCAAGTTTAGAGACTGTCATTCTTAGAGAATAAAAATGTGGCCAGTATTACTACTTGTTTTAAATTTCTATACACTTGCCATTTAAACACCATTATTTATATTTATATTTTTCATTCTCTTCTTCCTGTCATTGTCATTTTCCACCCAAAGCCAACCTTTCCTAGGTGTCTGTCAGCAAGCCGCCCTCCCCAGCCCAATCAGCCCTTAAGTACATAGTACATGTCCCTTTGAATATCTGGGTGCTACAGCAAGTTCAGAATATTTTTTATTGTGCCATAGGATTTTTAAAATATGGCTGCTTTCCCAGGGGCTTATTCTTATCTACTGGGTTTATGATGCCATGTAATATTTTCACTATAGTTTGGATACGAGAGAAAGTAAACATTCTCTGGTATATGAGAAAGCCTCATATTGCTTGCTGAATCTCAAAGTATCCAGTCTTTTGCTTTTGAGGAAATAATCAAGGAAATAATCAAGATGGAAGGTTTTTATTGATAGACTCCTAGACTGTTCCTTTCTTGTATTTTAAAGTTTGCTATGTGGTTTAACGCACAAATACTTATTCCTATGAAAAGTGAAGAGGAAAGCGACAGAAATTAGAGGAATGCGACTACATTTTCTGAGGCTCTGACAGAGACCACACCCTCACTTCATAGTTAAATTAGCTATTGATCTACTGTTCCTTTACTTAAACATATCATTTTGCTTCTTTAGTTTCAGAAGACCTATGTAGAAGATGTTTCTGTGTGGGTGTTGAGTGGATGAACAGAGTCCATCATCAGCTCCCTCTAAAACTCATAGAGCACGTATCCCTGGGGCCCATGTCTCAAAAAGCAAATGAAATATGACTTCTGTACAACAGGCATATTAAATGTCACTCTTGACAAGCTGTCACATTAAGTCATTACATGGGCAACTAACATAAATGCTGGAGCAAATACTTTCCACTTCCCAGTTTGTGAGTCCCAGGCACCCTCATTGTGAAACATGAAATCTCTGCCTTTACATGAAGAAAAAAGGCTTGGCCATGTGGAAAATGGTAGCCCTTCTATTTGAATTAAAGAGATGTGCGGTAAAAAGCTCAGTCATCTCTTCCAAGGAAGGAAAGGGCTATAAAGTCTGGTGCAAGATGACAGTGGGTCAGCCAGCACCACCTCCACTGACACACTGTTGGCAGTGGGCAAAGTATTGCCAGGCGCCCCATCCATCACCAATTCCCAGTCACCACAAGGAGCTACTGGGACTGATTGGGAATCTCCGTCTAATCAGCCCTTAAGTACTACAGCTTTGAAATATTCCCATCTGGTTTAATAATACCAGACAGGATAACAGTCTAGTATCCATATACCACAACAGTAATCTGCCTGGCACTACACTGCTCAGCTTTGTGCTTGCTTTCTCAGTGATAGTTTCCTAGGTTTAGAGCCAAGAGTAGCACAGTCAAAGTAAATCCATTCACTATTTCCACGAATATTAATTGACTGTCTTCTGTGTTTCAGGCATTGTTTCAGATTTTGGAAATAAGGCAGAGAACAACTCATTTAAAAATCCCTGCTGTAATGATGCTTATAGTGAGAGAGGAGCTGAGATACTATGTTCTGTACCCACTGTCGCTATAGTTCATAATGGAAGCTTTTAGTAGGCAGGGGTATTTAGACTAAGACAGGCTTAGAGGATGGTTATGAGAAACTCAGGTAGAGTGAGGAATCCAAATCACCAAGGCTAAAAGAGATTCTAGAACACTTTGTTCTATCTGGGTTGATGTCCATGTTTAGGAGGCTGGCCTAAGGGCAGGCTTATAGGGAGTGTCAATTCTCATAAAGGGTTGATTTGTCTAGGAGGATAGAGGTCCTTCTTCCAGTAACAGGATTCAGGCCAAAGAAAAGGGACTGGCAAGAACTAGGTGTGGGGATAAACAGGATATCAGACCTGGGTCCTATTCCTAGCATGACCTAGAAAGAAACATGGAAGGAGGAAGCAGGTCAGAACACCTGTCTGGTGCCTGGGGTTCAATCTGGAAGCTGCAGGCTCAGTTCACCCAGGGATTCTGGACTCCCGCTCAGGAACAGGAATCCTTTCATACCACGTGAACAAGTATTGAAGTGATATGGCCTGAATTTGAATCTCAGCTCCACCTTTTATTACCTTTGAGAACTCATTTCTTATCAATATGCTTTGTCTCCCTGAGACTTGTTTATCTCATCGTTAAATTAATGTAATAATACTTATCTCACAATGAGAGAGAATTAAAGAAATGTCTTGCCAGGCACAGCAGTGGCAGTCAGGGCAGTGGAACAGGGGCTTAGGATGAAGTATCCAGAGTACCTGCTAAGCCCAGTGCCTCCTTGTCACCTTTGCAACTGAGGGGCAGATTGCAGGGAGTACTGACGGGGGAGTCATCAGCAATGACACCAAATATACAGGTTATCTCTTGTTTACAAGTAGTATTGCTATTGGGGCTGCTTCTTTGCTTCTTCAAGAGAAGGAAATCATGGTCCTTGGCTTGAGAAAAATGTTGGTCCAAGTCCACCATTTACTAGCTGAGGGAACTTACGCAAGTTACTGAAATTTTCTTGGCCTCAATTTTCTCATATGTTTGCTAATTATGTAAGATTTTTGCACCTATATTCATTAGTAAAATGGCCTATGGTTTACCATGTCTTTGAATACTTGTGGCATCAAGAATACACGAATTTTATAAAATAAGTAGGGAAGCTTTCCTTTTCCACTTCTCTGGGGTGATCTGCATAAAGTAAGTGTTGCTAACCTCGAAAGACTGACAAAACTTGCCTCTAAAACCGTCTTGTACATTTTTTTTGTTTTTGTTTTTGATTTTTTAGGGTGGTTATATGACTACTAAGTCAATTTATGTAGTATAACAATTCTATCCATGTTATTTAAACATTTGTTCTTGAGTCAATTTTAATCATTTATATTTTTTCCAGAAAGTTATCCTTTTTTCTACATTTGCAAACTTAATACTGGCAAATTGTTCATATAATTAAATCATTTATAAACGATTGTGCTGTTTTCATCTTATTATTTATTTGTATTTTTTTCTCTCTTTTATAGACACAGTACTGCAAGAGATTCTCTGGCATTTGTTTTGTTGACTCCATATTTTGTTTCTTTGTTTTATATTTATTTCTGCTCTTATTCATCTTCTACTTTTTATATTTTCCCTGAAGCTATTTTTCTAACTTAAATTGAATATGTAGTTTGTTAATTTTTATTGTTGCTATTAACGAGTGCATACACACAAAATAATATCTACAACATAAATGGAGTAAATAACGGTACAAACACCGTATATCCATCATTCAGCTTTAAAAAGAGAATATTTCCATCCCTTGTGTATTCCTTCTTCATTTTCTTTCTCCTTCTAAACTTCAAAGATTTCGTGTCTATCATTTTGTTGCTTCTGTTTATATTTTTATCACACTTGCGTAACCTAATTTTCTTTTTGTCTTTTCTACCAAATGCATTTTAAGCTATTCATTTTCCTCTCAGCACACTTTAGCTGCATCATACAAGTTTTGATATATAGTGCTTTTATTGTTGTTGAGATAGAATTGTTTCATAAATTGTCAGTGATTAATATTTTGACTCAT